TGACAATAGTCATGCTTATTTTTCCTTGAAATTTTCAGATATTTTAGATCAATTAAATTGCGTACAAAATTGTCTGAAAATTTTGGAATATAATTTTCACAATTTTTCCAGTAATTTCAGTTTATATCAGAGGAAGCTTGGCAACGTCTGAAAGTTCATACGGCGTTCTTCCTTAGCACGGCAGTATTCTTGAGAGCTCTTCTCTTTGCAAACATATTATACTTGTAATGTGAGTGAGAGATTTTGGTAAAAAAGGACACGTTAAAGAAATAATATTTGTAGAGCCGTAGAATTTACTAGCACTCACCACAAGGGAACTCTAGAGGGTTGATTCTTAGAATTAATAGACAGAGAGATCGACAACGAGGACGAACAGAAAATAAAGTGATCTTATTGGTGGTAGCGAGAGTTAAAACACAAGGCATCCATTTCTGGTCGGTTCCTTTACTATAGGCCTTCACAGAGTCACACACGGTAGAAAAGATTAAATTTTCACCTATTGCAAAGTTTATGAACTAGAATGGACCAAGAAATGAGGGACACGGCGGAGATCAAGCAGAATGACGGAATGGAGGGATGTAATTTGGGAATGACCTGATCAAGGTGGCATGAAACGTAAGAAAGAAATGAAATATTGGAAATTTCAGTGAAATATTTCAAGAAATTTCACGAGGTTATGGAATATTTCATATTTTTCAGGAGCTAGAGTATGCAATCCGCACTCAAACACACAGGGATAGATGAAAGTCACAGTTTTTACATTTTACGAAACATGATAAAGGCCTGGTATTTTTCAATATCTTTCACAAATTTCTGAAATTCCATGAAATACTTCACATGAGAATTTCAGATCATATTTTTCATGAAATTTTTTCACCCTGGACCTGATCAAAGATTACGAAAAACGTTCAAACCGTGCAATCTCGTTTGCCGTTGGTAACATCCACGAGCAGACTTGTCCGAACTAGAGTACCTTTATAGACAGAGTATGGCCATTCGTATCTTGTTTACTACAGGAAAACGGTGCCGCTTTTTGATTGGTCAACGAGTTTTTAGGCTTCATGATGCTCTTACGGCCGTAAATAAAGAGAAAGATGGCGGCTCACCGTAACATTAATAAGAAGCTAAAATTTGACAAAAATTTCAATTATACGTCAGTAATAATATAAACTAGCATGTCTACGAATAACACGTGAAAAAACACGTGGAAACACTGTTAAATCGCCTTTCGCCTTTATCACAGGAGGATATAAGATGTGCATAGCCTCAAACTTGCTTGCTGATAACAGCCATCTTGTTTGTTTATTTACGGCCGTAAGTATATCGTGTCAGCCTATTTTCACGCGACCAATGAAAAACCGGCACAAAAATGGCCAATGGCCATACTCTGTCTATAGAGATACTCTAGTCCGAACTCTCCTCATGAAGGGACTCTCACGACAGGACAGGAGAGTAAATTCATCAACCCGAAGACCTACGAAATGACGTCCACCTTGCGGTGGAGAAACTCCAAAACCCTCCCTCAAGAGGGACGCTTGAACCGGTGATTAATCCAGCGTGTAACACTCTCTCAAATATTTGCATAGGAGGGCGGAATTTAGAGTGTGCTCGACCGTCGCTTTAAGACGTGTTAAGGTTGGCATGCGGAGCCGAGATAAACACGCCGAGTCCGTCCGCGGCACTTATCGGCCGGCCGTCGTTTATGGGGCTGTTGAGCTTCGGGCATCGTCGCTAGATTGTGCTAATTCCCCCGTGTAAGCCCGAGAAAAATACCCACTTATACTCGCACAACATGGCAACTGTGGCACTGAGCGTGCCGGCCAGACTATTCATGGCGACTCGAGTGTATGAAATGCAGATGACCCCGGTCCGGTGTGGTCGGGCCGGAACTCTCCTAAGCGGATTTCTAATTAACGTGCTGCGACTGGGTGGATTTGTGTGTTTCCGTACGAGAAAGGGGTTGCTCCGATTGCGTTTAGGAAAAATAAAGGGAGGATATTGTCGCGCTGCTCTTCTAATGATGCAACTTGGATAGTATTCCGGGCTTTACAGCAACCGTTTTGAACTAACATTTAGGACTTTCGAAGACTCGTCGAGGAATTTTGAAGACTTTTGAGGATTTCTCGTGAAGTTTTGGATTTGTAGAAAGAAGACTTTAGACGGTACGGGAGATCATGGATGCCAAGCAGACCATCGTGCATGACATTATGACAAAACAACTCATTTGGTACGGTCATGTCCAGAGAATGGCAGGAGACAGGTTGCCTAAGAAGGTCCTTGATTGGGTTCCTCCTGGGAGAAGACGCAGAGGGCGCCCAATGAAAGGCTGGAGGGAGGGGATTGAAGCGGAAATGTTAAGGTGCTCAATGCCCCAAGATTTGTGGTTTGAAAGAGAGCAGTGGAAATTAGGAGTCGTAGAGCGCGAGGGAGTGCTGTAAAGCGACTTATATGTATGTGTATGTAGAAAGAAGACTTTTCAAGAATTTTCCAAAGGCGACTAAGAAAAATTAAGGGCCTTGATAAGTGATGATTCAGAATTGAAAGTATCCGCTTCCTCTACCGTTCTTGGTTGCTTCTTATACGTAAAAAAGCATAAATGATGATGCTATCTGGCATTTTGAGTGGCTTCATAGCCTTAAAGAAAATCCAATTTTCAGAAAGATTGTTAAAAAATAATAAAGAACCAAACGATGAGAAATTTATGGATTTCGAGACATGATTGGATGATTTTACAAAAAAAATAAGGACACTTGAGGACTGAATAATTTAAAAAGTGTGGAAGTATTCTTAAGGATTTCGCTAGGTGCAACGAACCTTAATCTTGTGAAACAATCTAGGTACCTACTCAAACAAAGTACATAAGTACGAGTAAACTTCATGAATGTAGAGTTAAATATAAGAGCATCTTGTAATTTAAAAATGTTGATCTTTTTTAGGTTCTTCAAACATAAAAAAGTTGATCAGTTTCAGCAAAGGGAAATCAATGACTCTTTTTTTGCAAAATCAGCTGTGCATAAGCCAACGCTTAAGTTGAAACGATATCAGAAAGAGGTAAATTATCCTTCATGTACTTATTTGCTTGCTTTCAGTGCGAAAATGAAGATGGTAGCTCAGATCTTGTCTGACTGTAGAAGTAATTCAACTCGCTTGACACGGACTCCAGTCATACGCAGCTTACGCGCCTTCAATTAGGCGCGATACTCTACGCGCTACCGCGGCGTTAGTTTAGTTGCTCGACTGAATGAAACCTAACTATTCCAGGTATCGCGCGTTCCAAGCAAGCGTAACAAGCATCACATAATTGTTTCAGACATCGACTTAGATTTGTTTTCTTGAATTTTATAGATCAACCTTGAATAATAAGATCTAGTCTCTGATGACAAGCAAGTTGCATTAAATATTTTGATCGAAAAAGCGACTAACTAGCCGATAATTAGAAACCGTTCCAGCCTTACTGATGATCTCGTTTGCTCTTAAATGAATAAAATAATTTAATTCCTGTAGGAAGCGAACAAAACTAAAAATCAAAAGAAAAGAAAAACGCAGAAACACGAAACAACTTCTCTACGGTGAAATTGCGACAATGAGAATCTTGGCTTGCGACACTGCAAACTTTCTGTTGTAGTCTCTTTATTACAAGAGAAGGTACTCATTGTTATGTCCAGTGTAAATGTGTATATCATTAATTTAATGATAGGCTCAAAGCATTATAAAACATAATTCTGTAATTAGCGCAACTGACCCCTTTATTGTCATACACTTTATGTACGTACTGATGCAGAAATACCATAAATACGTCAAAACGGCAGACATAGTACGTTTTTGCTGGGAGTAAAGCTACGGCGCGGATGTTTTAACCCAAACCAACACCATAAACGAACAAATTATGCTAAATTTCGCTTCAAAAATAGATTACATTTTACAAAAAGGAACCAATATTTTTGGCCCATTTAAGAAACAACATACATGCCTTTTGTTTCCTTATGCAGATATGTGCTTTTATGGGAGAGCCAGAGAAAGTGGCTCCTTATTGCAGAATGTAATGCAAATGGACTTTCGATCAAGGTTTATTAAAGATGAGAAAATTGAGAGAGGGCTCAATTATAGGCTTTATCGATGCAGTATTCAAAACTCACCTTGGAGTTTCAGGAGCCATGTGGCGCATCAAGCTCAATTTTTAGGGGCCAAATTCAGTTTTGGCCTAGGAATCACGGCACATTTAGTGACAAGTTAGACACATGATGCTTTAGTTACAGAACTAGTAGCTATGACACCAGGGTGGCATTGAACGTAAGAAAGAAATGAAAGATTTGAAATTTCATAGACGGCTGTGAAATATTTCAAGAAATTTCACAGAGGTCTGTGAAATATCTCAAGAAATTTCACAGAGGGCTATGAAATATCTCAAGAAATTTCACAGAAGCTGTGAAATATCTCAAGAAATTTCACAGAGGCTGTGAAATATTTCAAGAAATTTCACAGAGGCTGTGAAATATTTCAAGAAATTTCACAGAGGCTGTGAAAAATCTCAGAAAATTTCACAGAGGCTGTGAAATATTTCAAGAAATTTCACAGAGGGCTGTGAAATATTTCAAGAAATTTCACAGAGGGCTGTGAAATATTTCAAGAAATTTCACAGAGGGCTATGAAGTATTTCAAGAACTTTCACAGGGCTGTGAAATATTTCATAAAATTTCACATAGCTGTGAAATATTTCATATTTTTCAGGGGCTAGAGTATGCAATCCGCATCATACACCCAAAGATAGAAGAAAGTCACAATTTTTACAGATTGCGAAACATGAAATAGGGGCCACGATGGCGCAGAGCCTTCATTTTTTGGGCGCCATGACTGATTTCTTAGGCGCATTTGGCGCGTTGGCGCCTGTGAGTTTCGAACACTGTATCGACCTCCTTCTAGCTGAAATATGTCATACGACAAAAAATATACTTTTTCCTAGAGAGGAGAGCTAGGATAGGGATATTGTTATAGGTACTCACTGTGCTTGGCTAGCCAGGCGGCGTAGTAGGCGGCGTGGTCGGGGCTATGCGGGGCGAGGAGGGCGACGTGTCGGAGGAGTCGGCCGGCGATGGGCCCGGCGTGGAGCTTGGCCAGCAGCAGATAAGCCGGCGTGTACTCCGAGTTGAGGCTCAGGCACCGCTCCAGCATCGCCATCGCCTCCGTCGTCCGGTTCATCCGCCTGTCCAAACACAACAAACACCCCCGGCATCAATTCATAAGTCCTGCCTCAACATCGTTGCCACTCACAACCATACAGGCGTCGTCAAGAGAAGAATGATACACAAAAATATTCAATGAATTTGATCATATTTTAATCAAAATTGAACGAGACAAAACATAAGAAAATGAGGAACCAAAGCAAAAATCGAACTAGGGCCAATGGAGATGTTGCATGTGTGAGGAATTTGCGATTTGACTTTCGATTCTTATGTAAAAGTTCGCGAGAAACACGATGGTCCCACTGATTTTCTCTGAAATCAACTCTTAAGCTCAAAAAAAGCTCTAAAGTGAGGCCAAAATGGAGGAGATATCCGACGCTACCTTGGGGGCCATCTATACATCAATACAAACTCTCCATGCAAAAATAGGGAGCAAATACATTAGCAGGGTTGCTGTGTTTTCAGTTTTAGAGCCCCCAAATAAAAAGGCAGCCATGTCAATGTATTTGCTCACTATCTTTGCATGGAGAGTTTGTCTTGGTGTAGAGGTGGACTCTCAGGATAGAATGGGATATCCCCTCCATTTGAGCCTCAACTCGAGAGCTTTTTTTTTGAGCTTGGGAGTTGATTTCAGAGAAAACCAGTAGCACCATCGTAATTCTCGCGAGCTTTTACATAAAAATCAACAATCAAATCGCAAATTCCTCACACATGCAACATCTCCATTCCGGGTGGTTTTGACCCCCTCATTGACCAAGATCCAAAACTATAATAATCGAAAACCCCTTACACCCAAATTTGTGATAGCACGAAAGGGAAGTTATACATGTGTCCCCTGGTTTAGGCCCCTTTCACCTTAAATGGTAACAAATAAGGTCTTGAAATCCAGCAATGTGAGGAGATTTTGAAGAACAAAATTAACCTAAATTTAAACTTCAAATGAAGATATCAGCAAGATTAGTTTTAAAAATAAATCAGGGGCTGCAACCTCTATCTTACCCTCCCTCCTGCTTGCTCGAATTCGTAATTCCTATTTGAAGAGAGGAATCTCCGAAGGAGGAGTTGCCCTGCGCTGATGATTTGAGTGCTCCGCGGCGTGACGTCGAACCCCCAAAAGATATAAACCCACCCCTAAAAACCTAAATTTCCGGCGATTTCTCTGTCTACGGCGAACAAACCCCAGCCCGATTCGGGAGCCGGGCTCACCTTCGCCTTACACAAACGCAGCATTTTTCAACCGCCAGCGCCCCGGGGCAGACATCAGCGAAAAAATGAGACCGTATTTATTTCTCGCTGATTGTTTGTTTAATAATGAAAATACACGGGTGGCGCGCTGCCACCCCTAACTAAAACCCCGCATCTCCCCGGAGATCACCCTACGAGTTACGTGATTCTTCCGAGCGAAGCTCCGCGGACAAGATTAAAATCCGTATGAAGAATCGCAGGGACCTTATTGTTTCGTTGGCGCGCGCGAGATTAAAAAAATGAAGGATAAGACGGAACCCCTTCCCCTCCGAATTCGAAATTATTCAAGTGATGGATTACGGCTTCTTTACAGCCCCCCTTTCCACCCCCCTCCGTGCCCGGTTCTTTTCGAGGGGGTTTTAAATGATGCGAGGGTTTGTTTCGGAGCTCTCCCATTCAGAGTCTTTTCAAGTGCCTCGGGATTTTCGCGTATTTTTAGCATCCGAGTTCGTGACCTGAACTGCCGTGCTAAAGAGAAACACCTTATCAGCCTTCAGCCGTTGCCAAATTCCATTTGATAAAATACGAATTTATTGAAAAAGTTGTACGTAGAGTACCTTTATACTGAGAGTTAAGATAATGTGAATCCGTTTCTGATTGGTTACCGTATTTTAGCCCTCCGCAGTGTCACGAACGGGAATAAAGATTACACTTTCGCCGATTCCAAAGATTATAATCTGGAATGGACCGAGGAATTACGGGTTCGACAAGGAACAAACGGAATGAGAGAAGGAACGGAGAGAGGAATTTGAAAATGAGCCAATCAAAGATTACGAAAAATGTTCTATTTGTGCGATCTTTATTCCTGTTTGGACTCCATCAACTCCATGAGGGTGTGTTGTCTTAACTCTCAGTTGGGACTATAGTTGTACTATCAATTTTTCCAATTTTTAGGAGAATTTTGTTCGCAACATTAATTCGATAGTTTCTGAAAACTTCAAGGAAAAAAAGCACAGCCTCCTTTCAAAATACGTTTTTTATGAAAAAAAATCTGGCAACATCCAAAAATTCATACGGCGTTTTTCCTTAGCACGGCAGCAAAGGAGAGCGTCCTTGATTTTTACGCGCCTTGATTCAGTCCTGATTAGGATTTTTCTCATCTTCGCGTCAAATATTTCGTCGCATAAGGACGTTACTGCACTTTGCGATGATCTCTGTCGTTTTAATAACTCAGTGCTTCCCCGAGCTCTTCTTAATGTGCAGTTACGCCTTTAGGTCCGCCAAGCGACGACTTAAAACCGTATACCTGACGGAGGACTGATGAGACAAGAATTCTTATTTCAACTGAGCATTGTTTATATTTTTCGACAATGTGCATGAGTTTCCTGACTCTCATCTCACGGTTGAATAAAGCTCATATTCATATCAACGCTCTTTGTTTGGATTTGCTATATCTAAAAATCAATCAAGCTAATTGTACCTTTCACGGTGATTAGCAAAAATTCATCTTCCTTTTGGAGAGCGATATCTTTATTTCTCGTTTTCTTTCAATTTATTTTCCCCGTTTTATTTTATTTCCTACTTAATAATCTCGGTGATTATGACTCAAATCGATTGCCGAAAACGCGCCAAATTTCAATTATTCGTTAGTGCCTGTTTCACAAGTATTCGAAAATGCAAGTGAATTTTTTTGCACAGTTCTGTCTGATAGAAATACGTCCAATTGTTGACTCTGGTCGTAGATTCATACCTGTAGATCTGGCCAAGATTGTAATGGGCGTTGACGTGCGTGGGGTTGATCTGGATGGCGGTGAGGAAGTGGTGCTCAGCAACGGTGGGGTTGCTCATGAGGGTGCCCAGGTTGTTGTGGGCGCTCGCGTATTGTGGCCAGAGGGCCAGCGCCTCCCGGTAGTGGAGCACCGCTTCCCGCGACTCGTTCTTGTCTCGCAGGCAGTTGGCCCAGTTGTAGTGCATCTTCGCGTTCTGCGGCACCGCCCGCAATCCCGACCTGCAACAAAACGCAGCGCAATCAGACTCACAGACCGAAATTGGCCGAAAAAATAGTGATACAACTAAACGTCCATCCGAGTAATGCATGGTGGTATTTAACCCGGTTGAAGGCGGTTTCGGGAAACTTGTTACTTGCAAGGTGTTGCAAATGGGAGAAGAGGAGGAAGAAGTAGAAGGAAGAAGAAATAAGAAGAAGAAGGAGGAGGAAAAGAGAGAGAAAGAAGAAGAATAAGATCCCGACCTGCAACAAAACTCATCGGAATTAGACTCACAGACCGATATCCGCCGAAAAACAGTGATACAACTAAACGTGCACCCGAGTAATGCATGGCGGTATTTTACCGGGTTGAAGGCGCTTCGAGAAATCTTGTTACGTGCAAGATGTTGCAAATGGGAGCAGAGGGGGGAGAAGAAATAAGAAGAAGAACAAAAAGAGGGAGAACAAAAAGAGGGAGAAGAGAGAGGAAGGAGAAGGAAGAGGGGGATGAGGAGGACGGTTTTGTGCTGGGCGGTTCTAGTTTGCAGAACTGACATGAGACAAAGATGGATAGGCCGAAATCAGGGGGAAAAACAGTAGTACCACTAAACGTGCGTCTGAATAGCGCATTGTGGTATTTTACCTGGTTGAAGGCGATTCGGGGGAACTTGTTTTGTGCAAGATATAGCTAATAGGAGATAAGGAGGAAGATGAAATAAGATGAAGAAGAAGAGGAGGAAGAAGAAGAATAAGAATTAAAAGAATAAGAGGATGAGGAGGACGGTTTTAGTTTTCGGAACTGACAAGAGACCAAGACGGATAGGCCGAAATCAGCGGAGAACACAGTGATACCACTAAACGTGCGTCCGAGTAACGCTTGGTGGTATTTTGCCCAGTTGAAGGCGCTTTCACGCTAGACGGTTCTATTCCGCGTGACTAACTCGAGACAGTGACGGACTACAGGTGGACAGCGGACTGATTGTTGAAACTAATCGACAAAGCTATATACGAAGAAGACATAATGAGTATGGGGCGATCCAATGGTAGAAGTGGGTGGTTCTTATAGACTAAGGGAGAAAATTATGGACAGACTATAATGTCTCCAGTGGGTTACCGTTAGTTATTCTATTACCAACTTTCTCTGTCCATTGCAACCACCCGCTTCCACCAATAGCATTCCATCATATCCTTTTTGTCTTCTTTGTCTATAGCTTTGTCTACCAATCATCAGGGAAAACAGTGATACCACTAAACGTAAGTCCAAGGAACGCATGGTGGTATTTCACCCGGTTGAAAGCGTTCACACTAACGGTTCTAGCCCGTGAAACTGACATAAAAAATTGACGCCAAATTCGGAATAAAAAAGGGAAAAAATTGCAAAAATTTATCGCAAAAATGTGCTGCTTAAGGGATTGCTCCTTTGAAGTCTTCATTTTCACTTCTGTGCCAGATAATTTGAGGATTTTGCGGACATTTTACCAAGGTATTTCGGCGAAAAAAACATTAGTAATGCTACTTAAATCTTTAAACTGCCCGGATTAAATGCAACATCGTGCATAAACAAAAATAAAAAGAAAAACAGACTTCAGCCAACGTTTTTCACAAAATATGGCATCCGCTTCCCGCAAAGGCATTAAGGTGGGGAAGGAAGCAGTACACACTCGACTGCGGAATTACTTTTTTAATGTAATTATTCGTTGAAAATCAAACAGAACCCGATTTCGCCGCCAACTCCTTGCAAGATTGTTTGAGAAGTCGTTCACCCTGCATGAACCAGCCCAAGCGCAAACATCCCCCGGAGACCCACTTTGCTCAGCGCTGAACAGTCGGTTAAAGCCACCGTTGCACAGGTTGGCCCCGCGCAGGCAACCGCGCCGCTTATTCCAGCAACCGGGGGCAATGATTTTAAGTCTATCTGTTGCAGACGTTGGTGACGCGAAACACCCGTTGGGTGCATGATCAGGGAGTCTGCAAGTCCAGAAAGTCCGGAAATATTACTTATTTTTCAAGGGCGGTCGGAAGCACTGAAAAAGTGCGGAAATTTTGCAAGAGAGTCCGGAATTTTTTCATTTTTGTCGCAATTTGAGCGGAAAATTCAAATTTTTGAAATTTTTTGAATTTCGTCAGTTAAAGGTACTGAAAAAGTACTGACTTTTTTTGTTGAGGAGGTACTGAAAAAGTACTGTAAAAGTACTGATTTTTGGCCAGCCTGTTCTAGTAGACACCCTGGTGATTTTACGCCAGAAGCTATACAATATCGGGATATCGATCAAATTTTGCTGAATTTCTGGTTTCACTTTGAACTTTTGGCAAAAAAAAAAACAAATGGATCCACCACACTTGGGGGATATTTTAGCTTTTTCTTCCGGAAAAATCTATTTTGTGAACCTTAAAATCTACCTCCCGTATACACCTTAAAATAAAGCTTCAAGGATGCGAACACAAAATATTGCATCCACTTACTCAAATTGAACGATTAATGAACCCTTAGATTAGGTATGAGTGAAAGCAAAATGCAACATCGTCTCTCCTCAAAATTTTACTTGAAAAAAAATCGGACAACGGACAGTATGAAAATAAACTTTGAGCTTGGGAGTTGATTTCAACGAAAACCAGAGGCACCATCGTGTTTCTCGCGAACTTTTACATGAGAATCAATAGTCAAATCGCAAATTCCTCACACAGGCAACATCTCCATTTTTTTTCTTCTGCTTTAGATTCACTTTGAAATCATGACAACATGTCGCGCAAATCTACACGGAGAAAAAGACTACGTGCGTGGGACCCGAAGTTGAGGTCATATGGATCTGTATCACGGATCACGTATCTAAAAACTTGAGGTCGAGGTGCCGAAATTCGGGTCAGACATCTGAAGTACCTACTTCGATACATACCGAAGGGCGTTCGGGTCACACATCTGAAGTACTCCGGTACATACCGAAGTGCCTCGATTTCTGACCCGAACTTCGGCAGCTCGACCTCAAGTTTTCGGATGCGTGATCAGAAAACTTCAGAGATCCATTTGAACTCAACTTCAGGTCCCATGCACGAAGTTTTTTTCTCCGTGTACCGCGCGCTTGATTTCGCGTCGCCCGCACTCTGTGGAGGCGCGGCTGAAGGAATAAGATATTCGGTCTTAACGAGAGCGTTAAGATGGCGCTGCTGAGGAGTCGCTTCCGCGTGCAAGCTCTGCGGTTTGTTTGTGCGTTTTCGAATTTCGATCCTCCTCGCCTCGCGCTTCTCCGCGGATTCCCGACGTGCTTCCATCACAGCCTCCGAATTTTCCTCGCCAAAGGTTAATGATCAATCCGTCGAAGGAATTCAGTTACAGGGAAATCTCGCCTCTCCCCCAACCAAACTTCGGTTGAGGCGGAGTCGAAAATTAAGAATTCTCGCGAAAAATGTTTATTGCTTCATTTGAGAGTGTTTAATGAGCTGAGTTCGCAGTATTTTTATACAATGAACAAATTAAATTGCTGATTTACTAATTCAATCGCTAAAAAAAGTGACTGCAATGTTTCAACGTGGATTTTTTAACAAAATATGCTACTTTAACCACTATTGTACGCTAACTTGACCACGGGGGTGGTTAAAGTAGCATTTTTGTGTTGTGAAATCTACATTGATACATTGCAGTCACTTTTTTTAAGAAATTAAATTAGTTTATTAGGTGCGCGTTGAGTAGTCGTTTCCAGAGAAGTAATCCATTGTTTGGAAGGATTTTCTAAATTCTTAGAATTTTGTGGATAGCTATTTCATTAAATTTTGTCGGAATTTTGATTTATCATCACCCTTCTAAGGTAAGAGCGTATCTTAATTCCTACATCAACCCTGTTTTACACATGAATCCATGCTTTCTGGGGCTCATGCCATAATCGAGGTATGCCTTTAGGAGCGACAGAATATAAACATGAAAATCCTCAGTAAGCCACAACGAGTTCGATTTATATCAAAAATTCCTGAAACATAACTTCAGTGGTGAGCGTCATCTATCAACGAGGTATTGAAATAAATTCATGAGAAACTTGGTCTGCTATTTCCTCCCTAGGGAGCTATGCAAATAAATAAGGAAACAATGTTCGTCGGAAAATTAAATACATACTTTTGCTCTCTCTTTTTAACTATTCACCGTGCAATTTTTCTCCGCCTCTCTTGTAAACAGTGGAGCGCCATGGTATTTTCTTGTTTTTAATCCGGCGATCGAGCAAACGGTATGCAGACTCGTCGGGAGTTCGCAAACAAAAAGATTTTGTTGACAGCGGACTGCTACCCAACAAAAATCAACAGTCCTGCTGGTAAGCTTTTACCGATGGAGAAATCAAATCAGAATCTCACGGAGTGGATTCATCAACCGCGATAGAATGTAAAAGCTCATGAAACCCGAAGAAATTTTGTGTTTGGCATTTTACACGTAAAAACTTTAAAATGAAACATCTGTAGCAGTTTGATTGCGGATAAATTATGAATATTTTTCCTTGGAATTTTCAGAAACTCTAGATCAAAATACGAACAAAACTCTTTCAAAAATTGAAAACAAAAAATATTTATAAGTTTACCAGGGAATTTGTGTTTTAACAAAGAAGATTTGGCAACGTCTCAAGGTTCATACGGCGTTTTTCCTCAACATGACAGAATTGGTATCTTTGATAACGGTGGCAAGGAAAGGCTCTAAGCCACGAAGACATCAGTCCCGTATTTTATTTTTCGGAGTTTTGAATCGAGCCATGAGATAGAACTTTCCAACTTTGAACAGAGAGGGGGCAAACTACGCGCTGAAAGAAAAATTGCACCGCCCCCGATGATTTTCTTCATGTGTGCGTTTTTATTTTTCTTCTGTCGCTCGCTTAAGAACTACTCTCGAGCGGGGAAGTTTCCTGACCCGTTGTTCCGCTCGCCCGTGCATTACATCACGTGTGACAAGTTGGAGGAGTTTGACACCTCCCGTGCAATGTGTAATTTCCTGCCGAGCTGTGTACTTTCAAAAGAAACCGGCCTAGAAAAGAAGTGGGAGGGGTGAGGGTTGAAATAATTGAGTTCCCCGCTGCGCGAGTGACGTAACGGAGGAAATTTGCGTGGGTGTTATGATGTTCTTCCCCTGCCGTTGCCATCTCTCCTCTGAAATTAGCTCATTTCAAATTCTCTGCGCTTGACCCTTTATTGCATAGCGTTGCATGAAAGCAACAAATGTTTTTTTGGTTTTAGTCCTCGATGGCATTAAATTGCGCCAAAGCAATAAATGGTTTGTAGAGAGGTCTGATCTCCAAAGTTTTAAAAAAAAATGGGACTTTATTTGTTCCCATGATCCTAAATATACTGAAAGATGGTTCAAAATTAGACGGAATTCAATTTTAATTTTATTTTTATATAGTTAGAAGCTATATTTTATGATTTTTTTTTAATTTGAAAATTATTACATTCTATCCATTCTATGCTTTCTAATTTATTATTAATTATGCCATGAGGGGCAATACGACAAAAGGAGACCATTCTCAAGCGTTGTTAGAAATGCGTTCAAGAAAGCTGTGTGCCGTTCGTGGGAACGAGAAAAAGACGAAGCGCCTTCAACTATGTGAGTATGCAACAAAAACATCCATGACGCCCGAATAGTTGCATCAAGACGTTGACCCAACTTTATTACAATGTAAGACAGTGTAAAAACATGCTTAAGATGATATATGAGACAAAAAAGCGTGCAAAAATAATTGACAGGTATAGTTTTTAGTTTTTCGGATAAAAATAAACTCGAAAAATGCTTACGAGTTGTGAAAGTATCAGAGTGTGATCTTACCTTGATAAAGTTTCTCTCGAGGCCCAATCTTTATTTCTAATATGTGTTTTAGCGGCGAAACAACACAAGACTAGGATGATGACGGAGCAGATAAGTGATTTTTGTTTGTGAGTTGCTCTGCTGCACATCAACTGAACTCCATAAGCTACCAGGAGGACAAATCCAGAGCTGCGGACAAAAAATTCATAGAAATTGAGAATAAAGTTGATTTTGAAAAACTAAATTAATTTCGAAGTTATGAACTAATGTAGTTTTTTAATCGAGCAAACGTATTGAAAAAAAGTTCTTTGTACGTAGGTAAACCATGTCTGCCTGATTATTTCCTTCAACAATACGAACGTTACAGCTGTACACCTGTTACAGCTTCGTCCTCGATTCATGGTAGGTAGATCAGGCCAAAAAATTAGCACTGAGTCACTTCCAAAACTCCAATCCTAAAATCCAATCAATCCCTTAAAAAGATAATTTGTCCCTTGAATATTTCAGTATAAATAGACTTTTTATAAAAGAGGGAGCGATATTTCTGCACAAGTTAAGCTAATTAATACGACAAAACTCGCAAAACAATTTTAAAGTATTTTTCAAAAAACTCACTTGCGACGATTTCTTAGAGTCGCACCGATGATAAGCCGCATGCAGAAACGCGTCTGCTCGTTAGTTAAAAAATCGTCGCGAGTGAGTTTTTTTTTTAAAAAACATTAAAATTGTTTTATCAACAAATACTCTTGGACTTTCCTCACATTTGTGCGTCCAAATAGTCTATGTCAAAATGATGATCTACGTGTCAAAATTCAAACGAGGGGACGAGTAAGGTGCACAGTGGACCGAGTCAACCAGAGAGGTTGGACATGAAATTTTTGACTAAAATTGCAAATTTTGATGTTTATATCGTCACATTATAAAGTTTAAGGGGTGCTTTAAGAAGAAAATTTCACGAAACAACCAATAGGATCACATTCAGAACCTCAAAATTTTATATAAACGGAGTTATAAGCTTATAAAGTTTCCAAATTTTGTCCGACCTCTCCTCTCGACTCGATCCACTGTGTGGCGGTGCATAATTATTCAAACCCGGCCTTGTGCCTTGTTAAATAAATTTCCCTCGTCCAAAATGCACTTGGGCGGGGTAATGAGAGTGCCCTCGTTTATTTCAACCATCGCACCCTCGTATGGGGATGATAATTCACCCTCGCCGCACAACCCCGGACGGTTGTTAACGTGTTCGTCCATGAACCTCTCATTCACGAAAGTTACGGAATAACACCACTCTGGTGACCGCAGGGGATACGCTCGTCTGCGACTGTCACGGCCGGATTCAAAATGTCCAGCACGAGTTATTAGAACTCGAAAAGTGAACATGCTCTAGGAATGGTCACTTCACGGCACAAATCGTCGGTCCTCTAATGTACTGCCGTGCTAAGGAAGAACGCCGTATGAACATTCGAGATTTGCAAAATTTCCTTCGATAATATATGTATTTTTGACGAAATTTATGCATATTTTCCCTTGAAACTTTCAGAATATTTAGATTAAATTGTGTAAAACATTATGAGAAAATTTTGAAAATAAATTGTCGCAATTTTTTCAGTAAATTACATTTTTATTGGAGGAAATTTGGCAACGTCTGACGGTTCAAACGGCGTTTTCCCTTTGCACGTCAGTATAAAAGTGCGACTGAATTTTAGGATAAGCCTTAATATCGTTATGACTTCGTGATTTCCGGAGCTCATTTGAAAAGTGAGTTACATCCTTATGGGAAGAGGCGACGATATGGGAATATATTGTGAGATGAGTCACGTTAGGCACACATCTCTGCGTTTCATATGGGCCAAGTGGAAGGCCGCGGCTTCGTGGGCAAAGAAGGGCTCTTGAAATAATTTGAAACGTGACGTTCTTGCTCACTTCTGGAGCTTCTGGCAATGAATTAGACGCTTTTAGTCAGAATCAGCCGCGCTAAAATTTGCGTTGTCTAATTTCTTGCTAAAGTTTCCGGTTTTTCTCGCACCGACGCCACTCAGTTTTGGAGGAAATATATTTGTAAACACTCAGAAACAACACTTCTAAAAAATGAAAAAAATTGAATTCATATGAGTTGAACTTTTCTACTCTTATGAGTAGAATATTCTAGTGATATGAGTAGGATTTCTACTCATATGAGTAGGAAGGGTGACAAGTGGAAATGTCCGATACAAAATGTCCAATTATAAAAAATGTCCACAATACCCAAACATTGTTTGTCCAATACAAAATGTCCATAAACTGCAATGCCCAATAAAAAAATGTCAATATCTTATTTGTCTTACTTAAAAAATTTCCAAAAATATTGCCCGAAAAAGTAAGAAAAATGCCAAATAATATGGAAGAATCGTGTGAACTAACCCAATAAATTTGAAAACTGGGTAGTTGGAAGTTCCAAATTCACATTTTCTTGCAACGGAATGGGCGCGTCTTCTCTTGGAACGTATTTCTTGTAGGGCATTATTCAGTTTAGACATGATTTTTTTTCTTTATTTTACTTTTTCAGCTATGGAGCTTTTTTTGGACATTCTTGTATTCGGACATTTTAAGTAGAACATTATTCTTATTATACATTTTCTACAGGACATTTTCACTGAGCACCGTAGGAAGTTCTACTCATGTGAGTTGGCGAATCCTGAATAACCTACTCGTCATTTTTAGCAGGGATAGCGCCTACAAGACTGTAGGGATACTTCACGCAATGCGCCAAACACAGTTCGGTGATATGAGTAGGATTTCTACTCATATTAGTAGGTAGTTCTACTCATGTGAGTTGGCGAATTCTAAATAGCCTACTCGTCATTTTTAGCAGGGGTAGCGCCTACATGACTGTAGGGATACTTCACGCAATACGCCAAACACAGTTCGGTGATAAGAGTAGGATTTCCACTCATATAAGTAGGTAGTTCTACTCATGTGAGTTGGCGAATTCTGAATAGCCTACTCGTCATTTCTACCAGGGATAGCGCCTACAAGACTGTAGGGATACTTCACGCAATGCGCCAAACACAGTTCGGTGATGTGAATAGGATTTCTACTCATATAAGTGGGAAGTTCTACTCGTGTGAGATGGCGAATTCTGAATAGCCTGCTCGTCATTTTTGGCAGGGCATGAACACTGTATTTTCGATTACACCCTGTATATGAATGAAAGTGTAGATACTGACCTGGGGATGTAGAGGACCCTCTCGGCGATGACGAATCCGACCGTGACGAGGATGTTGGCCGCCGGGAGGAACGGGAGCACGAGTAATAAACAGCTCAGCACCAGCGGGATCTGCTTCTGCTCCTGTCGGACAGAACGGGAATAGACTCAGCTCTTGTTTTACGGCCACTCAAAACGCCGAGCCCCGACGCTTCAATGTATTCACTCGTAAAAAAAAAAAAAAAAAAAAAAAAAAAAAAAAAAAAGAATGGCGACCTTTTGGATGGACTCGGGTCGACCCTGGTGAACTTCTTACCTCCCTTACGAAAGAACGTAACTCCATATGGATTGAATTTTGCAATAGGGAACCACTATTTCTGGCCCATTTTAGAAACAACATGCATGCCATTGGTTTCCCTGTGCAGATATGTCCTTTTAAGGGAGATTCAAAGATAGTGGTTCCTTTTTGCAAAATGTAATCCATATCATCGTTGCCGCATTCAAGTTTGAAATTTGTATTTCAACTCGAAAACTATTACTACCTCGCTGATAAAGAACGCCGTATGAACATAAGTCTAACGAAACGGGGTAGCAATTCTTAGACTTTATAGCAACATTGCACTCCCCCCGTTTAAGAGTATGTAAAACAATAGATTTTTATCAAGAAATGCTACCTCAATAGGGATAGATTATTCACAATGGGGTGAATTAACACTGTTAACTCTCGTTCTCAATAAGCAGTTATGACACTAACCAAACTGAAGAATAAACGCTAACAATAGGCAAATCTATGGTTAATTGAGCTAATCTACCTCTGAATATAACCATGACAAGAACGAAAATTTGCGGAGTCAGAAAGCTGAAATTGAGAATTATTTTTTTCGACCACAGACCGTAATTTCATCAAAATTTTCCAAGTATAAAAATCCCTCTCCCAACGCGTGAGGCACTACTCATAAATGAAACATACCTACTCATAAAAATGATGAGTAGGCTATTCTTGGCCTACTTCAACATCATGTCTCACCAAAGCAGCTTGACCGGTCTCCACTAATCAATTTAGAAAACATTTTCCGATCCTTTACAGTAATGAGTTTCCCTCCCCGCTTTTTTCCGCTCCATTTTTCAACTGGACCTCCGCTCCGATGCGCTGCGAGCAAGACTCCATGACAGGGAACTCCCAAGTTACACCAATTAAACACGAATTATTTCATCAGTCAAATTGAGAATACGGGCAGTGTAATTACTTTTATACACCTAACAACGGCAGCTGCTACCCGCTAGCGCTTTCTAAAGTCAATTTGCCAATTTTCTCGGGTTATCCTATGATTCTAGAGTCGCATTTTGGGGATTGGAGGCGATTTGGCAAGCCTGCGGAGTATTTTTCGCGAGGAAATAAATTCGTTCCGAGGAGAAGGCGGACGGAGGGACCCAGGTGAAGGGGGCGGGGAAAGTTCGAAAACTTTGCGAGAGGTTTACAGGTTCAGTAGATTTTTTTACAGCGGGGGAAAAATTCAATCATCAGACAACGATTGAGCGCCCGATTTTTGCACATCAAAGTGGGGATTGCTGTAATTGAATGAGCCTTTCAGCCGATCCTAATTTCACGGTCATTGCGAGTGTGGAAATGCCGAGTTTGCAAAAATTTAAGTGAAGATTCGCGAAGGTAGACCGTTGGATTTTTTCTGAGGAGCATACTTCGTTGTCTCCCAGATGCAATTTTTGTCCGAAACTTACTTGATTTTTACATGAGGTCAGAAGAAAACCAGTGAAATTTTCGGTTAGAAACGTCCACAATTTCCTAAAAATGCAATTTTCGAAGGGAATTTCCGCAACATTGACTTGTAGTTAGATTTTTTCGTGAGGGAAATGACGACTTTTTACAATCATCCGTCCGGGCCAAAAAAGTACTAATTTCCAGATAGATGCCTGAATGATTTTTAATTTCCTCTTTAAAGTCGCCCTATTAGAAACCTTGGAGCAAACTCTGAGATCAGATCGCTTCGAAGCTACTTGCCCCCAGATAACCCGACTGATCAGAACAAGGAATGAAATCAGTTCTGAAAGAGTGAGGTTTACTCCAAAAAGAGAATATTCAACTTCATCTTTCTCGGGTTTTTCCTACATGTTTAGCCCACTCTATAATTTTGATCTACCTTTCATCCTTCGAACTGGGACTGTATTCTTCGATAGCCCTTTTGGCATTCTACTGACGTCCATGTTTTGGACGGGACCAAATCATTCTTTTTCCTCACACTGAATATTTATGAGCTCATAACTTCGATGATCAATTCTCACTATAAACTTTTGTTTTGCCTGCACTGGAAAAAACCACATTGGATCTAGAGTCCAGACTCGTGAAAACATCGACAAGAAAAAATACTCTTGATTCAATCGGATTTTTGCTTGAATCAAATCGAAATCCGCTTACATTAAGAGGCTTGGTTCTTGATTTAAGCTAGATTCTGGTTGAATCATGTCGATGTTTTTAAGAGTCTGGACTCTAGATCTAGATAGTTTTTTTTTCCAGTGAGGGCACAAATTTGATTTTTCCAGGGTGCGTTACCTGCCAGATCAACGCCGTCTCTTTGTTTTCTGCTCGAAAATGAGAATTACTCGCCTAAGTCTTTCGTAATGCCTACCCTTGACTCTCTTTATCCTACGACCCTCTTAAAATTCTTTCTTCTCAAATACGCACTCACTCGCGCTCCGAAAAAAAATTAAAAATTCTCAAACATTTATCAAACCGAATGTGTCCTCCGTCGCCAAGCGCCTCTCAACCGCTCCCCATAAATTTTAATAATTGAAAATTCATCGACTCCTTAATAGAGAGCGGTGCACGTGGAAGCCGCCACTAATTTCCACTTCTTTCGGCACTTCCGCCATCCGAGGAGACGCGAATTTAAAAAGTTTTCATCAACTTGTTTATAACGGCCGGCGAATGCGAGTCGCGGGAGAATTATGTGCGACGAGGAGACGAACGCCCGGGGGAACGGGGGACGAGCCCGGGAAAAGTGGAGTTGAGATGTCTGGAGACTTGAATTATTTTAAATTTTTATTACGGCAAACTTTTAAAGATATCAATAAAAACTGAAAGTGAAATACTTTAAAGAGCTTTGCGACTCTCGAGTTCTTGAGGTTGAGAAGCTTTTTCTTGGATGGCGGCTTTTGCATTGGCTCTGCCCACTGGCACTGCCACATGGCCACACTGCCACATGGAAAAAAAAATTGCTGATTCAACAATTCAATTGCTAAAAACAGTGAAAGCAATGTTTCAACGCAAATTTTACAACAAAAAAATGCTACTTTAACCACGTTGTAAACTAATTTAACCACGGGGGAGGTTAAAGTAGCATTTTTTTGTTGTAAAATCTACTTTGAAACATTGCACTCACTGTTTTTAGCAATTGAATTGTTGAATCAGCAATTTTTTTTTTCCGTGCATGCTACGGAAAAACGCCGTATGAACCTTTAGACGTTGCCAAATTTCCTGTGATAAAACAAGAATGTCCCGATAAACTTATGAATATTTTCCTTCCAATTTTTCAGATAATTTTGTTCGCAATCTCACCTAGAGTCCCTGATTTTGAGGATGAATATTCATAACTTTCCTCAAAAATAAATATTTAATTGAAGGAAAATTGGCAACTCTCGAATGTTCATGCGACGTTCTTCCTTCGCACGGCAGTGCAGTGGCGTGGCCTGCTTTGCGATGTATCGATCGATCTACCATTGAAACAAATAGAGAAGGATCGATAAACAAGGTTTCACCTTAATAAACCGATTCTTAACCATAGCTTCAATCGGGGAAATATCGATGATCGATCATTCACGCCTCGCCAATGCGTCCCTTTCGACCCTCTCGCTTTGATGGACTGGATGCGCTTGATAAATGAGGTGTTTTTCGGCAAATATCAGATTTTGACATTAGGTGTTGAAACAATACATCTATCATGAAGGTTAGGTATTAGCAGATTTATGTTTCCTCTCAAGGCCTCTGATGTAAAGAGCCTCTCTAAATTTCGCCCCTTTTTCTGAATACTGAAATTTAGGTTGATGAAATATGTCACAAATGAAAGCTTATGGCGAGGTGAGATCCAAGAGACGTTCCAGATTAGGGTAGAGCTTCTTTTAAGTTATACGGTGTTGTCACTTCTTTATATACTTTTCAGATGCTGAAATGTATTTATTCTCGACTTGGATCGAGGAGACTATGTTTCAAAGTTTACCATCACATAAAAGATATTTAACCTTACAAATTTTCGTTTTTTGTCATGGTTCCTTTCGAGATATCTACTACGCTGATTTCTCATTCTCGTCACTATGATAAGCCTATGTGTATCTGTTTTTTCGTACGATCCAGATTTTTAATACAACGAGATGGAATTGAGAATTATCTCATTTTTACAATGTACATTTTTATATTGTGTCATACTTCGTTCTCAGGGCGTTACCGGGATATACAGAGTGTTCTATAGGACTAAACCACATGGCAGCCAGGGGGTATGAGGAGCTAAACTTTTTAAAGGAGCAAAGTTCTGAACTTACCTCAAAGTCGACAAAACATTTGTACGCGAGGACCAGGCTGAGAGCGATCAAAATGCAGGTGCCGATATTTCGCGAATCGGAGAAAGACGCGACCAAAGGTATGGAGCCCATCTGCCAGTCGTGACTCAAGGTCGATGGACACAACAGCAACAAAAAGTTGAACACGGCCAGGTACGAAAACGTCAACAATCTGAAACATAAATAGAAATTTCTGTAAAGATAAAACCAAACTTCGCCTCATATTGGCAGGTAGTAACCATCTAATCAGCAATGAAGTTTTACGCCCACAATATTCCGTAATTTTTAAAATCAGAGAGCGGGATGGTGCATGTGAAAAATTGTATCATTAATTTATTACGAGGCTATTCAATTAACTTCTGTTGGGGAGGCTCTGGTGCTTCAGACCCTTAAAAAGGGGGTTTCAAAGAGAAAAAACTAATACACCATTGTAGCCCTCAACGTATTTCAGATGGGACCGCATAAAAAATCAGAGGACATGGAAGAAAATGAAGGAAAAGATGAAGAAGAACAATAAGTAAAAAAAATGAGGAATAGGTAGAAGTTGGAAGACCAGATCATGAATATTGTCATTCTTCTTTCTTTTTCTTTCTTTCTTAAATTCTAATGCGCCTCGATTCGACATATGGTAGGAATCCTAAGCTACTAATAACTGCAAATAGGTGGTTTTTTTCAAAATTCCACATATTCGAATCTAAAACATTCGAGTTTATCAGGCTATGGTTGAAAAGGAAAACCCACCATGACAACAAATGTATTATTCACGAACTAAACAATCAATTAAACCTCTAGGACTGGCTATCCCTTCATCCTAGTGCTATGTAAGCGAAGCATTGATGCAGTTTCGTAAATATCATTTACCAACTATTTACTAATATTTGTTGAAATATTTTTGACCAATATTCGTTTTTTTCTGCATTTATTGATTTCCACTGAAAATCCGGTAAACCACAACACAGGCCTATCAACTCCAAAGTTTTTCAATAAATTACACCATGCGTCGAAGGCTTAGGCATTCCAAATTTCGGTTAACCAAAGCGTCCCCCTCTTTTTTTTATCGCGGTTGAGTTCCCTTGAGTGCAGTTTTTTTTCTCTGCTCGGTCACTTTGTCGGTGGTTTGATTAAAAACAAACAATGAGAAATGACTATAATTTGTCACTTTGATTGGATGGAGGTTTGCGGGCGTTCCGACCGACCTCCACGGTGCCACGCCTGGGAAAAAATCCCAAGTTTCGCTGCGAAGTTGCGCGAATAAGTAGATTTTACCGCACCGATTGGCAACCTCGTGATTGTAACGCTGTTGACAACGCTCAATCCACCGTCAATCGCATAATGAGCTTGTTCAGCAATTCGTAATTCTTGCATTTTTGGAAACTAGAGAGTGCACAGAGTTCACAGGAATTTTCCCCGATTTTTTTGAGCAATATTAACCCACGAAATACGAGTCCAAAAGTCCGCATTTTGGGCTCCCATTTAAACGCGCGCCGCTTGGCCCATCTCAAAATGGCGCCCATTTTCTCCGTCCGGCGGTGGCCACACTTTTGACCCGGCGTGCCGGCGGGTACCTCTGCATGCCTCTGCCGTGTGTGGGTCGTATAAACAAACGAAGATTGATAACACAAATGATCCGAGCAACTCGAAATCTCTTAATATTAAATAATTTAAATCCATTTTCGACTTCAACCAAGCACTTGGCAATAATATTCATCGTATTTTACAACCAGGAGCCACGGCCTATCGGCTCATTTTAAGGTGCATTCTGAAAATCAGTGTTTACAAGTCCAGTGTCCAAACCCAGACTTTCTTCCTTTACTTTTTTTTGACCATTCTCTTTTCATTTTCGCCTCAAATCAAATGTTTAGCAGTTTCTTTGTCTTGAGTATGTGGTCCTGAATTCATTCAAGAGTTAGAAGTTCACCATTTATTTAGTATTATAGCCTTTTGACCTCTCAAGCTTTACCGATATGATCTCATGTAGTTCGAGGTTTCTTTGGCCCAAACCAAGTGATTACACATCTGATGTGTGTCTTATGGCTCTTCAAATTCGCAGTTTAGAACTAAATCAGAAACTACAGTTACTTAATCCAGTTCTGCTCTCTTGTTCAATGTTTGTCATAAGTGTTTGTTCGTGTCTGTTCTTTATAAGTGACCACTGTAGTGCATATACACAGTTATGCTATCGGTACAGGTATTATTTCTTGTTTTCTACAGTCAGGACTTTCTCTTAAGCGCAATAATTTACCAAAGAAATTCACCTAGTTGCGTAAATAATTTGGTGTATAGATATTCTGTTAATGTCTCCTTGCGGTGATGCAAAGTTTCTGAGATCTGTCATAAGTGGATTTTGCATTTAGACGGTCACTCTTGTCTGATAAAATTACTGCTCTACTTAGCAGCTTCAAATTTATACTTTGATCTCTGATTCATCACTAAATGACACTCGTGCGGTGTCATTTATCTTTAATCAGTTCAAAGCTATTTCGACAATGAATCATCAAAGGTCCGATCGAAGAAGGAATTTTCTGGTGAGTGCTGTGGCTGAACCGACATCACAACTCTACTATTGAAAGCATGAACCAAGACATGATCATTCGTCTGGAAGTGGAAATATTTTGCAACTCATCAGCAGGCCGATTATTGAAGGCTTAGAGCAACCCGACAAGACATCAAATTCCGATATATTGCATGGATAAGATAGGGCTATGTCTTTTCATGTCGGGCTGACATAGTTTCAATAATCGGGCAGCTGGTAGTTTAACAGGTAAGATTTGTAAAGTCACTTGGTATTACAAGTTACATTCGCATCTCTTGTGGAACAGTTTATGTAATTATGCTTACCTTTGTGGAGATTAATTGATAACAAAGCGAGCATATCAATATCATAGCCTAACTAGAAACCCACTTACGTAGATTCACAAAGTTTCAGACTTTCTGTTTCTCTTCGATTATAAAATCATGCAACGAAATGTTACAAATATCATCCCCAGATAACCTTAACCATGTTCCTGACTTTATCTTATGGGAGGATGTAATTCTATGTCTTTTCAAAATCCTTCCATTCGTCTGTACCTGAGAAATTCAGTAAACCAGCAGACTTTCGGACTTTTAACAAGAATCGTCGGCAACTTTACCATTGAAATGATTCTTAGGTGTTTTTGAACAAAGAGATTTTATTAAAATTTTTGTTGGACAGGTTTGATTCACCTTGAATTCTTAAATAGAGAGAAAAAAAACATTTTCTTCACTATAGAAAGAAATGAAACTGACCAAGCTGTAGGTAGGTAAGTAGTTTTTGATTACTTCATTCCATGAAATATGATGAGCCTTATTGCTGCAGGAAACACAACATATAGCAGGAATCCTCAAATAAATTTTATGTCTTGTACAATGTCTGTTGATACTTAAGTATATGATGATACCTATGAAGTACAAAATTTCTGAAAAGACACTGGGAATACCAGCAGAGTCATCTCAAAATTTTCTCTCAGGAACAAAACTAAAAATTGTGGAAGTTTCCTAAGAATGCTCTCAAGACAAATTTATGTATTATTCATAGATGAAGTGTAGCCTGCTACATATCATGTCGTATTCCTCTTCAAATATACATGCAGGTGAGTAGATTTTGAAATTTTGAGCGCACAATTTGCTTATGAAAGAAGCGAGCACTACCATGATTTCCACTTACCATTACCACTTCCTGATAAATTTATATGAGTTGATGCTTTTGAAAGTTGAGTTGAGATGTCGGTTCAGCCACAGCACTCACCAGAAAATTCCTTCTTCGATCGGACCTTTGATGATTCATTGTCGAAATAGCTTTGAACTGATTAAAGATAAATGACACCGCACGAGTGTCATTTAGTGATGAATCAGAGATCAAAGTATAAATTTGAAGCTGCTAAGTAGAGCAGTAATTTTATCAGACAAGAGTGACCGTCTAAATGCAAAATCCACTTATGACAGATCTCAGAAACTTTGCATCACCGCAAGGAGACATTAACAGAATATCTATACACCAAATTATTTACGCAACTAGGTGAATTTCTTTGGTAAATTATTGCGCTTAAGAGAAAGTCCTGACTGTAGAAAACAAGAAATAATACCTGTACCGATAGCATAACTGTGTATATGCACTACAGTGGTCACTTATAAAGAACAGACACGAACAAACACTTATGACAAACATTGAACAAGAGAGCAGAACTGGATTAAGTAACTGTAGTTTCTGATTTAGTTCTAAACTGCGAATTTGAAGAGCCATAAGACACACATCAGATGTGTAATCACTTGGTTTGGGCCAAAGAAACCTCGAACTACATGAGATCATATCGGTAAAGCTTGAGAGGTCAAAAGGCTATAATACTAAATAAATGGTGAACTTCTAACTCTTGAATGAATTCAGGACCACATACTCAAGACAAAGAAACTGCTAAACATTTGATTTGAGGCGAAAATGAAAAGAGAATGGTCAAAAAAAAGTAAAGGAAGAAAGTCTGGGTTTGGACACTGGACTTGTAAACACTGATTTTCAGAATGCACCTTAAAATGAGCCGATAGGCCGTGGCTCCTGGTTGTAAAATACGATGAATATTATTGCCAAGTGCTTGGTTGAAGTCGAAAATGGATTTAAATTATTTAATATTAAGAGATTTCGAGTTGCTCGGATCATTTGTGTTATCAATCTTCGTTTGTTTATACGACCCACACACGGCAGAGGCATGCAGAGGTACCCGCCGGCACGCCGGGTCAAAAGTGTGGCCACCGCCGGACGGAGAAAATGGGCGCCATTTTGAGATGGGCCAAGCGGCGCGCGTTTAAATGGGAGCCCAAAATACGGACTTTTGGACTCGTATTTCGTGGGTTAATATTGCTCAAAAAAATCGGGGAAAATTCCTGTGAACTCTGTGCACTCTCTAGTTTCCAAAAATGCAAGAATTACGAATTGCTGAACAAGCTCATTATCGACGAAGAAAAATTAGCGCTCACTCAAAATCCGGTAATATTTCAGTGCAAATATTGTCTCACGTGTTCGGAGCTCAAGCCTTTAGCAAATTAAAAGCGGCGAGTGGCGTTTTTCTGAGCGTCTGCTTTTTTCTGCTGAGAAAAAATGCCGTATAAACCTCCTTGCGATGCCAAGTCTCCTCCAATTTTCAGACATTTTCTGGAAATTTT